TTAAAACATAAACAATGAATAATCTTAATCAATGATGGTCAATTATTTTGGTTCGTAAAAAATTCAAATAAAAGATCCATGTATGATAAGAGTGGGAAAAACAAAATTGAGAAAATAAGCTTAAAACTTGCATGAAAAGGTCGGAAATTAATTTAGTTTTTGATATAATAGTAAATTTTATATTTAAAAAAAAATTTGGATCAAAGTTAAATTCATGACTAATTTGCATTAAAATAATATTTTTAATCTTAATATTTTGATGTAAGAGTAAAAAAAAGTAAAACTTATATACATGTAATTTGATATCTTTTTATAATATATACTCGTATAGATATTTGATTTTGAGAAAAAAAATTCAACTTTTTTTTTAATAAAGGGATATATGCATATATTATTGAGTCAAATATTCGTATATAATATTAAACAAAAATATGTCAATTGTATAAATTTATTTGTGGAGTTTAAAAACTCTATTATTAGTGAAAACAATTAATAATTCTATAGGTAAATAATAATAATAATAATAATAATAATAATAATAATAATGAAAAAAAATATACAAAGAGCCCATGAGATTTGATAGAAAATACATTTACTCCCTTTAATATAAAAAGCATCCTCTTACTTTCTTGAGTTTTGATAAAATATACACTTATCACCTAAGATACACACCATGTTAATTTTAAATGGACAGACAAATATGCCTTTTGCTAGTTATTAATTATTTAATTTTTTTTCTTTTATTTTTTATGCAAAATTTTTAACTATAAAATTAATAAATGTATTTGAATTATAATATAACTTAATTGAAATTTAATTCATAGAAACTAATTAAGTCATATAAGTATAGATATCTTAATTTTGTGGTTAAAAAAAGTCTTAGGTAAAAGGAAAATATAACTAATTAATAATTAACAAGGGTATATTTGTCTTTTCATTTAAAATTAACTTAGTAATTAACATATTTTTTTAAAAAAGGGTGAGTGTATTTTTTTTTTTTTATCAAAATTCATAGTGGTGGAAGGCTGTTTTTCAAAGTAATGGAGGACATTGTACTTACAAAAAAAAAAAGGAAAAGGAAAAAATAAGAAAGAAGGGGCAAAAAAGGGGAAAATGAGAAACTTGAGCTAACCGTTAGGGTTGACAGACAGGCAGCTGGAATCTAATGCACAGGCCGTCGTTGCAACGGTCAGAAAAACCATTTTTGGATCTCTTCTTCTTATACACATTTGCTTATTAACTCCTTTAATTTAGGTGCTTCAAAATCTTCCTTTCTTTTTTTTTTTTTGGCTGAATCAATAATAAAAAAAAAGAAGGAAATGGCAACCGTTAATGAGTATCAAGGAAACACACCAGTGGCCACTAGCACTGCAAAAAAACAGCCTGCCCCCCACTGCTAAGACTGTTGATTCTCTATCTGTTCTTAAAAGGTTTCTTTTTCTCTCTTTTCTTCACTCCGCATTTTTTTTTTGTTTTTTTGCCTTTTTGTAATTTTCGTTTTCATTGGATTTTATTTCTTAACTAGGTGGAACGTATAGCTAGATGGGTTCGTTTCTTTTTTTTTTTGGCCTAGTCTGCTATAATTTTTTTTTTGAAGTTGCAACGGATCGATAGTTTTTTTTTTTTTGGTTAATTATTATTTTTAAATAAAAATAGAATCCCCTTGAGACTGATTGAATTTTATCACTAAAATTAAAACAATTTACCCAAGACTACACTTGAACTCTTCCAAGAAAAACAGGACTGCTGGAAAATAAATTGTTAAAATAAAAATGATAATTAAAATTGTCTGGATTGAATTAATTTTGTTTTTGGCCAAAAAATATTAATTTTGTTAAACTAGACAGTTACCTTCAAGCATTACTTAATTGAATTATTTTTTATGTTGATATTTATCCATATCTTTTTTTTTTTTTTAATGTGTGGATTTCTAAATCTCTCTCTCTCTTTTATTTTTTTTTTCTTGTCAACAGGTTGCAATCTGAATTGATGGCTTTGATGGTATAAACTCTATTGCCTTTACTGTTTTTGATAATTTTGCTTCTCAAGAACAAAGATATTAGCACATTCTTTTTTAGTGGTTTGTCATAAAAGTTTTCTGTTTAAATAAATTATTAATGATAGATGAGTGGAGATTCTGGGATATCAGCATTCCCTGAAGAGGAAAACATATTTTGCTGGAAAGGAACAATTACAGGAAGCAAAGACACTGTTTGAAGGAACAGAATACAGCTATCTATGGCATTCCCCAATGATTATCCTTTTAAGCCTCCAAATGTTAAAGTTTGAGACTGGCTGCTTTCATCCCAATGTTGATGTCTATGGCAACATTTGCTTGAACATTCTTCAGGCAAAATCTTTCTTTTTTTACTGTCCAAAATTGCGTAAAAAAGAACAAAAATTGTCTGTCTTTGGACATGATTTTGATGATGCATTATTTGTTGTATAGGATAAATGGTCATCTGCTTATGACGTAAGAACCATACTGCTATCTATCCAGAGTCTGGTTGGAGGTATTTCTTGCTTTTTTTCCCTTGTTTTTAAACACTAGAGCTACAATGAGAAACCCTTTTTAATAGTTTTTATCATTTGGTGAATCTGATATGCAGAACCAAACATTAGTCCACCTTTAAACACCCAAGCAGCACAACTTTGGAGCAATCAAGAAGGTATCTTGTTTCACTTAATGTTTTTATTAGCAGATCTTTGTTTGTGATGAAAATGGTCTGAAAATTTTTTGTTTGTATTTTGCAGAATATAGGAAGATGGTTGAGAAGTTGTACCACTCTCCTCATGCATAATTTGAGAAATCAAAGGGGTTACAGGAGTTTTGGTAAAAGTTCATAGATGATTATATTTCGCCAACACCTTTATCTCATAGCACTATTTTTTTCCCTTTCAACTAGTGAATATCACTTGCAGACTTTGAGTTGTGTTAGTGAATAGAGTCCATAGAAAAAAAAATAAGTCAGAGATGTGGATTTTATATATTCAAAATCATAACAAAGCTAGAATTGCTTAATCATATATGACAATTATCAATGACATATATGATTCTGTTGCAACATGCAAACAATAGCATTTTCTTTATGGACGTTATCTAGCATGTTTGAAGTGCATGTTTGGCTCAACCTTTCAGACTTTTGTGTACTTGATAATTGAAGTTGAGCCAATCGATATTATGTGATGGCATAGATAAGTGCTCTGAACCACACTGCTGCAAAAAAGCCAAGCAAGCAACTTCCGACGTCCTTCACTTTGCTCACAAGCTATTGTAACAGTTGTCTTTCCTCCCATGATGGCTCTCATTTCTCCTACATAGCTATACCCCCTTTGTCAAACTTACTAAGTAGGTTTATATGTTTTTTTATCATCTTCCATTTCTTTTCCATCACGTTTTTTTTATTTAGGTGCTAGCAAGGAACCACGTGACATTACATCTAATAAAATTTAATATATATATATATATATATATATTCATGCACGATTCGAATGTTAGCTCTTTCATTTGTTATATCGGGCTGGGTTTGCCTTTATTAGTATATTGGGCATCTCCTTGATGGATTTTTCTTTTTACAACTAATTTTTATTTTATGAATTTTAAATATATGTCCCAAATTAGTTCAAATTTCGAATTATTTGTATTAATACAAACTTTGTAACTTTAAAATCAAATTTTGGCTACTTTATATGCATATACACTTACTGAATTTATATAAATGCAAGTATTTTTATAATTATGATATTAAAATTTTGTTGATTAAATGGTTTCATATTGTCTTAAATAATAAAAAGAGTTTATTTTTTCTCTTAATTGTTTGAATTTGAATATGTTAAAAAATTATAAAAATAATTTTTCATAAATTTACTAGGCTCAATATAAATATTTACCATTATGCATAATTTTGGAATGACTATATATTTTCTCTGTTGCACATTGGTGCAAATCTCGTATAAATAAACTCCTCGGCAATGGCACCGAACCAACGAAAATTGACATACAAATAGGAAAAAATTGTCAATCAAATCAAATCAAACAAAATACACAAGAAAGAAACATTCTTGGAAAGAGAATATGGAAGATAGGTTCACCAAGCTTACTTTCAGCCAATTAAAATCTGAGAGCACTCTCGGTGGAGGATGGGAGGTCAACTAGAATAAACAAGGGTTAACCAGCTATGATTAAGACAACAAAGACAAAAATGTTAGTAAAATGACAATTCATATGTTGGTGAAAACAAATGGTTAGGGCGGTCTGATGTGAAAGAAAGCATTCTTATACTGAAATCTAATGGTGCGGAATGGTTTAAAAAGCAAAACCAACCAATAAAAATTAATGGAGTTGCCCAAAGAAAGAAAGGTTTAACTGGAAAACTGCAGATAATCATAAACTAAGGGATGACCACACAGATACATGGTCCCCATAGCAACCTCTTTCCTTTGTAAAAAGGCAGCATTTTTTCCTACTTTACATCATGATATTTAAATGAACGTTATGACATTCTCTCACCAACCATGTTTGGCTCAAATGATATGAGATTTGCTGCACTTGAAACGTGATTACTATTCAAGATGTAATTTCTTGTATTTAGGAGGTTGGCATGAGATTTGTTGTATTTAAAGAAGTGATTACAGTTCGAGATGTAATTTATTGCATTTGAGAGGTGATCATGATTCGAAACGTAACATCATTCATGCAGTGATGTAAGTAAATAGGTTATAATTGAAGGTGTAATATTGTTACACTTAAAAAAAATATGTATAATCAATCAAAGTTTAAAGTGTGATGTTATTATAATTAAAAGAGATAATCATGATTTAATACGTAATTTGTTGTACTTGAAAGATGTTCATGACTTAAGACATAATATTCTTCATGCAAGTAAATAAATTACGGTTTGAGACAATACTTTTCATGTAGATAAATTAATCATAATTTAAAACATAGTGCCTTTCGTGATGAGGTGTAATGCCATTCACCGCTCTAAATGCTGTAAATCTCACGCCAATCTCCTAAGTGCAAGAGATTATATCTTGAGATGAGCATGAGATTTACAGTATTTAGAGAGGTGATCACAGTTCGAGACGTAATCTATTGTATTTGAGAGATAATTATGATTTGAAATATAATATCATTCACGTAATAGTCCAAGCAAATAAGTCACAATTGTATGCGTAATATCGCTACACCTAAAAGGTAATCACAATTCAAAATATAATCAATTATATTGTAAGATGCAATGTTACTACAATTAAAAAAGGTCATTCCAATGCAATATGTAATCTGTTACACTTGATAGATATTCATATTTCAAGGCGTAATGTTCTTCATGCAAATAAATAAGCTAAGGTTCAAGATGTAATGTTTTTTATGCAGATAGACATAATGCCTTCGTGTAATGCCATTAACACAAATAAATAAGTCGCAATTCAAGACGTAACGTTGCTACACTTACATGATCCCGATTCAAGATATAATCCGCTACACGTGAGGTGTTCATGGTTCTACACTTGAGAGGTGCTCATGATTCGAGACTTGAGAAGGGACTTAACAAGCGTTCATGAGTCGAGACGAAGACGTAATGCTTTTGATACTGATAGACATAATGCCTTTCCCGAAAATAAACAAGTAAATTGAGTACAGAAGATTTCTAGGGTAAATTAAAAAAATTCAAAAAAACCATGACATTGTTTTCCTAAATAGACATCATTTTCAAATTGCCAAGCATCAATATACAATAACCTTGAGAGGGGAAAATGAAGATTAAGGATACTCTTAGAAGATAAACTTTGACAAAGTGGAAAGTAATGAACAAACCTTTCTTTTTATATATGAAAGATATGGAATTGAATTCTACATTTACAGGGGCTATATGTATATAAAGTAATATATATTTATAGCTGCTGTAAGTTATCGACACTTTTGGATTAATATGAAGCCGCAAGGAGCGCTGCTCCAGTCCCTGATCCGTCTTCTGTGTCCATAAGAATGACATGCCTTGCGACATCTTCTCCCAATATTTCATGCAATGCTCCTTGCAAGTACTCTCTAAACATTGTGTATTGTGTGAATAAACTTCCCTCAACTGCCACCACCGTTCTTCGCATCTTGATATCGCTTCTACTTCTTCCACCCGTGATGCCACCACTTCCATCCCGGCCAATCTTCTTCAAGATCCCAACAATACCAGCAGCTGCCAATCTAGCAGCCCTGCAGGTTACCACATCACATACCTTCACAACAAGCTTCCTTGCCTTCAAGGGAACATCTGGAATCTGCAAAGCTAAATGTCAGCCTAATATAATCCACTAAGCTCATGGCCAAAGACTGAACAAGGAGGGAGTTAATGTTGTACTCAATTACATCGAGATCATCTTTTAAGATTCTTGCTACTTCTGTCAATTCTGGGGAGTCATCCGCATGCATTGCAGCCATTGAAGGCATCCTGAAATTGGATATGGAAATGGTTAACTTTATTAAACAAATCAGACACATAAAATATTAATAGATGCATACCTTAAGGCAAAGGGCATTGATGATTTAGAAGAAACAGATACAAAAATATCTGACTCTTCCCACATCCTTAGTATCACTCTCCTAACAATGTCACCAAGATACATGCCTGATATCATTTTCTCAAAACCCTACGGCAAATTACAAGAAATCAGATCTGGTCCTTCATTATCATCTAAGAAGAAAAAGTGTTGTTAAACCTAATCCTACCTGATCATTTGGATTTGGACTCTCAGCATCTAATTCAATATCATATGAAGTTCTTGGCAGATGAGCTGACCAAAAATTTCCCCATTCCATATTGACAACCTAGTCACGAGACAAATGAACTAATGTGAACAGAGATATATGCAATTGACTACCTTCCTCATATAAAGTAAAATAAAAGCCATAGGCAACAGAAAGAAAATATACCATGCCTCCAGAAGTTGTAAGACGTCCTTGACACTTAATGATAGCATCTGTCCGCTCCCAATAGCAGGCATTTGTACCTGTTCCAATTATCACTGCAGCAACAGTGTCTGCATCATGATAATGTCCAAGAGCTAATGTTCCAACAGTATCATTCACCTGCTTCAAAAATGCATGAAATTTATCCGATAATGTAACTAAAATTAAGTACGAAGATATATACATATATATGTGGGTTATTAGGAAAGCCCTCTCAGTTTATTACTTATCTCATGAGTAATCAAAGCATTCATTATAAAATATCTACTGAATGATGAAGGCACATCTGCCTCTTTACAAACATGCCTCAGAAATTATCAAACAAGACACAAAATGAATCAGACAAAAAATCTGATGCTGATGCATCAGATTTTCCCAAAAGTTATGAATGTACTTTTGTGTGATTATCCGTAACAAAATTTTCTTCAAGAAAGAAAATGCACAACAGAAAGCACACAGCTATGATGATTAGAATTATTTTCCCAAAAGACATAGGGAAGACATCTGAGTTCAACATATATTGATTAAAGTTATCATACGGTTATGCAACTGGAAGCAACAAAAACTTTACTTCTAGATAGACAGGTGCAGAAGAAAAAAACACAGCTACAAAGATTAATTATTTTCCCAAAAGATGTAGAGATCTGACTTTCTAGTCAGGTAGGTGAAATTATGAATCATTAGACAAACTTATTAAATCCTAGCATCTTACACTATTGGGATGCAGTTATGGGGTAGTAACCAAGTCATTAAGCTCCTTTAATTTGGCATAAATACATTAAAAATATCTAAGAAGCCATCACAATGAACTGCAAAATCCACTGTCTAAAGACTAAGCTGTAAATCATGCCTACAACCATGTTACTACAACTACTAAAGACACAAAACTTTAGTCATTTATTTCTTGCTTCATTCAATCTTCCACTGACAACAGCAAACTACATAAACCATTAAAATAAATTAACTGCACAATGAGCGCAAGTTGCAAAAGTTCCATCCAAGTGATTCCTTAAATTGAGAAACACAAAATTAAACGTTAAACGAAGAATTAGAGCTCACCAGCACAGTAACTTGCATATTTAAACCTTTCCTAGCCAGTGCTTGTTGTAAACTGCCAGCAACCTCTTTTCCAACCTACAATCATTCATGCCACATATTGAACAAAAATATTAGGCTTGCCTTAAATTAAACATAGCTTCCAACAATTCTAGAGATTCTTTGATAGTCATAATAAATTAGACATAGCTTCCAACAATTATAGAGATTCTATGATAGTCATAAACAACTGCTAGTTGAGAAAATTTAAGCCTTCATATAGTGCATGCAATATGATCCTCCAACAACCAAGCCTTTGGGTTTAAATTATTATTTTATAAATATGCAGGCATTACTAAGTGACATTGCCTATTATCCCAGCAGTTTAAAAGCACTCGTATTCAAAAATAAAACACTAACCATGTCTTTGATTGCTAATCCTTTTGTCCATTTGATTAAAATGCCTGATGAAACAGATGTCTGATTCACAGGAAAAGAGAATGTAAATCCAAGTTCTTTTGTAATTGGAGATTGCTCAGAATCATTTCCTTTTTCAATAAACTGATGTAATGATGAAGCTATAAAATCAAAAAGGTCCTGCATGAAAGTGAAACATGTTACTAACTTCAATTTGAATCAATAGATAATAAGATTCCATATGTTTGCCAAGGATTGGCGAGTCAGAAACTTTGTTACCTCACTTCTGCCACTCATCAACAGGTTAGGAATGGGGTGTTGCTCCACATCTGGATGCAAAGAGGATCTTTGACCTCCTAGTTCAACCCGTAAGACCCTAAAATTAGTATCTCCAAGATCTAGAGCATAAAAAGTTCCTTTCTCACTCCTGATGAAAAAAATTATATACTTATTTACTAACATAACTTATGCAAGAAAAAAATAAATAAATATACATATTACATGACCAGACAATAAAATCATTCACAAGCCTAACTAACAAATCGCTCCACATCTGGATGCAAAGAGGATCTTTGACCTCCTAGTTCAACCCGTAAGACCCTAAAATTAGTATCTCCAAGATCTAGAGCATAAAAAGGTTCCTTTCTCACTCCTGATGAAAAAAAATATATACTTATTTACTAACATAACTAATGCAAGAAGAAAAATAAATAAATATACATATTACATGACCAGACAATAAAATCATTCACAAACCTAACTAACAAATCGCTCCACATCTGGATGCAAAGAGGATCTTTGACCTCCTAGTTCAACCCGTAAGACCCTAAAATTAGTATCTCCAAGATCTAGAGCATAAAAAGTTCCTTTCTCACTCCTGATGAAAAAAAAATATACTTATTTACTAACATAACTAATGCAAGAAGAAAAATAAATAAATATACATATTACATGACCAGACAATAAAATCATTCACAAGCCTAACTAACAAATCGCTCCACATCTGGATGCAAAGAGGATCTTTGACCTCCTAGTTCAACCCGTAAGACCCTAAAATTAGTATCTCCAAGATCTAGAGCATAAAAAGTTCCTTTCTCACTCCTGATGAAAAAATATATATACTTATTTACTAACATACCTAATGCAAGAAGAAAAATAAATAAATATACATATTACATGACCAGACAATAAAATCATTCACAAGCCTAACTAACTAATCAACACAAAAGCAAGCACAGAGCAAACATCTTCTATATAAAGACGTTAAAGGCAAATTATCATCAACCCAACCTATAGCATACACCTAAATTCCAAGCTAAATCAGAAGTTTCAAATTTTAATAAAAAAAGAAATGTCAGATCCATTTCCTTTATTTGATCTACACAACCCCAGACCACATTTGATATAGGAACCAATAGATTCCATCCACTAATGTAGTTTATACCCAATAATACCTAAAATGGTTCTTATACACCTACATGCCAAGAGTGAGGAATAGAAGCAGAAGCCCCCAAGATTATATGAGCTACAAACATTAAGTTTTAAGACAAAATTAGATTCCCTACTCAAAGCAGTGGAATGTTGAATGTGAAAACAACAGATAACACTATCTCAATATTATTGAACTTCAAAAGTAAAAACCATTTGTAAGAGATACCAATTCCAGAAATCATATATTGTTAATACTCCATCTGAAATAAACACGCCAAAAGGCAACAAAAATAGTGCATATTATATCAGAAAGAAAGAATCAAAATGAACAAACAAATATCAAATCAAAACCAAAAAAAAGGCAAACCTAAGTGGAAAAAAGAAAACACTTAACTTGACAAATTCAGTAAGGGGGCAGAAAGCAAAAACAACTCACAGAAAGTGTGGCCAACTTGCAACAAGACAAAAACTCAAACACCATTCCAAAATAACAAATAGGGGAAACACCACTGACTATCACGGAATACTGTCTTAAAATTGGAAAACTCTGGCATAAGATGAGAAACAAAAACAAATGCAACAGGAAAAAGTAATAATAAGTTATAACAAAAAAATAAATAGGAACTAATCATTGAAGAAACCAATTTTTTCCTTTTCTCAATTTAACTATTGAGTGGAAACTTTGACAACCCAATAAATATAAAAAAGGTAAATCAATTTTTCCAAACAAAATCAAATAAATAAATTTAGAGAGTGAACTATTCAATCAACAACACGGACCCAATACACTGCATTACAGTGAACCAATAACCAAACCAATAAAAAACCATTTTTAATCTCACACAAAAATATAATTCCAAAAGCACCAATGTTACTACACTCCAACAAGCATATGCCATCCCAAAAACCAATCTGAACAATGCATCAATAATCGAACCTATATGAACATATCTTTAATCTCACAAAAAAACTAAAAATTATATTCACCATAATAACCAAAAAGAACCAATTAAATTAAAAGCAACAAAATTAAAAAAAAAAAAGAATAAAAAAGATGAGTTTTGATTACCCAGAAGGGAGATTATCAACAAAAGTGAGCAACATTTTGAGCTTGGATCCTCCTTCAGAAGCTAAACCAGCATGCATCTCAACAGCCATAGCATCCACTACTTGCCTTAACCTCCCAACTGTGGTTTCACAATTTTCTTCCAACTCTTTCAAAACTCCAACTGCTCTCTTCCACTTCCTCCTACTCCTTACTCTCTTTCCTACTACCAACGCCGCCACCGCACAAGCCGCCACCGCCACCCCCACTGCCACGCCCAAAACCACCTTCCCCATCAATTAACAACGCTAACAATATCACTACCCACCTTTATATATCTATTAAAGTATCCACCCTCGCATCCCTTGCTCCATCAAAATACAAATTTTTTTTTTTAGCTTTGATCAATCTAACGGTGAAACGCCAACGTTTTAACATCTGGGTCTTTTTTCTCTCTCTTTGCTTTTAAATTTTCTTCACCAAAAACCCAGAAATCAGAACCACAAAAAAACCCTCTTTTTGGGGTGTTCTTTTGATGGTTAAATTTACAGTCTTTTTGCGGGTGATTTTTTCCGGCGAGAATCGCCGGTTAAGTCTTTTTAAGAAACACGAAGACGGAAAGAATTCCCTTGTTTTCTTGAAGATGACTTGATTGGAAAAAAAAAAAACATAAAAGAGAGCTTTTTAAAGAGAGCAGAAAAAAAAATGGATGTTCTTTTTTCTGCAATTAGTTGCTTTGGAAAGCGAAGGGTACTTTTGTATGAGAGAAAATGACGGGTTTGGGCTCGGGGATTTTCCAAAATGACGGATTTGTTAATGGGGTAATTATTTTACTTGATGAAAGATTTGATTTAAATTTAATGGGAATTTTGACTTTTTGTCTTGTTTTTTGACAAAAATATTTTGCCATTAAAGTTGGTGATAATTACGGTTTTAGGTTGGTCGGAAAGGTGTAGTTGATTACTTTTGATTAAGACATTTTGAACACGTTTCTTCATTCAACCATTTTCTCTCTCTTGACTTGTTTAGATTTTAGAAAGAGAGTTACTTATGGGCTTAGAATTTGTATTAATTTTTTTTATTGCGACTTTTAATTCATGCACAATTTAGTGGACCTCTTTGGGTATAATTCTTTTTATATTTTGCTTTTGAATGCAGATGGTAAGATCAAATATGGAATTTAAAACATTGAATTCAATTTGAGATTTTTTACTGCAAAACGATGGCAGTTATTAATAAACCATTCTCTTTCCTTTTTTTTTTTTTTTTCAATGTTTAAGAAAAGCAAGATATATGGAAGTTTGAAAATTAGGTTCACTATGGAAAATGATGTTAAATATGAAATTTAGTATAATTGGTTCATATGTATTTTTATAAATTGATATTTAATAAATTTAAAGTTTAAAAATCGACATTCAACAAATCTTATATAAATATATAAAAATCAAAATTTTTAACAAAAAAAATCTAATGTAGATGATTTATTTTTTTGATATATGAACGGTTTTAAACAATCATAATATGATCATATTAATTATTTAAATTTGTTTTCATATAAATTTTATTAATTTAAAATATATTTTTTTGACTAAATTAAGTATATTTATTTTCTTATAAATATAAAATATTATTATCTTTTCATAATTACGTTACAACTCAATTATCTTAAATCACTTTCAAATAAATTCAATTTTTAAATTTAAATACTAAACATGAATACTATAAATAAAAAAATATATTTTAAAAGCATTGACTATTTGATATCCATAATTTTAGTATTAATTAAGAAATAATTTATGTAATGAATATATAAGTCATATAATGTTGAGAACTCAAACCTAAAATAAAAGGCTTAATTAATTGCAAACATATATTTTTTATATTTCTTTCTATATAGGCATTAATCACAATCACAAATATTTACCAATATAATTTACTATTTCAAAATATATTCTCTAATAACTCATTGTAATTACTCTACATAAATTACTTTCAATTAATCTTATCTTATTTTATATAAATATATAAAAAGCAAAGCTTTTAACAAAAAAGAAAAAAATTCAATGTGGATGATCTACTATTTTGATATGTGGATGGCTTTGAACAATCATCATATATCATGCATTAATTATTTGATTTGTTTTCATATAATTTTATTAATTTAAAAGATATTTATTTTGACTAAATTAGTTATATTTATTTTCTTACAAATCTCAAATATTATTACCTTTTATAATTACGTTACAATTCAATTATCTTAAATCACTTTCAAATAAATTCAGTTCTTAATTTTAAACACTAAACATGAACACTATAAATAAAAAAATATATACTTTAAAAGTATTGACGGTTTGATATCCATAATTTTAGTATTTAATTAAAAAAATTTATGTAATGAATATAAGTCATATAATGCTAAAAATTTAAACCTAAAATAAATGGCCTAATCAATTGCAAACATAATTTTCATATTTCTTTCTATATAAGTATTAATTACAATCACACATATTTATCAACATATTTTACTATATCAAAATGTATTCTCTAATAACTCATTATAATTACTCTGCATAAATTACTCTTAATTAATTTATAAGAGGTTTTATAATTCTTATTGTAAATAAAGAATCATACAAATTAAGAATGTTAGAAGGCTACTTTCCAAATGTATCAATTTGTGATTAGATAAATTTTTGTCATAGAATTATATTAATTTTGTATGACAATGAATTATTTTTATTTTAATTTTTTTCATTGTTGTATTTTCATCAAGTTATATTATTATTTTAGTTTATCAATTAGTATTCATTATACTAATAACAATGTTGAATATTGATCACCAAGTTAATTTTTTTTAGCTTGTGGATTCATAAATGCTTTCCTTTTATCACATTTCGTAGTTGGTATTATTTCTCTTTTATTCACTCAATTTTTTATGGAAAAAAAATAACTTTCATTAACACCAATAAGTATAAGTCTAGAAATCAAGCTTGGAAGTCATTCCAATGAGGTATATTGGTTGCTAATCTCGTACTTAATCTTAGTTTCGTGGTGTGGTAAAAAATAAACAATTCTTTTGGCATGAATGAACTTACAAGATGTACGAGATGAAGTCAAATTCAGCATATCAAAAATCCTTATCTCATGATGTGTATAATCTGTCATTGTGATTTCAAAAATAATTATTAATAAATCACTTTCCATTATAAGAGAATTAAAATCATGATCACATTGATCATGATTTTATTTAATAATATAAATGTTTTCATTTTGATTACAAAAAGAATCAAAATTTTCAAATTAACTACCATTTTTGTTCAATTTTGTCTTGATTAATGTTACAATTATATATATCCTAATTTTCTTTTCTAGATTAGTTTCTATTTCTTTATTGGTTTAATTAGCATGAATTGCATTTATTGCTACTTTATTGGTTTTTAACATGACATTGTCCAAAACTTGATCTATTACTTAATTATTTTTTATTGATCTAATTTCTTTTTCATTAAAATAATACAAATATACAATCAAGCATGAGCAAAAAATTATTTTCATGTACAATTCATGCTTTTATAGTTTTGAGAGTTTTTTTTTTTAAGATCAAAATTATTAAATTTTGATTATAATGCATTCTTTATATATAAGAAGTAAAAGAACATACTTACCAAAAAAAATTTAAATAAAGTTGGGATCATGACTTATTATCTTTATAAACTTTATACTAATTATGGTACTTAACACACATCTGCATGTAAAAATGATAAATAATTTTATTACAAAATCTTTTTAAAATATTATTTTAGTTACATATTGATCTATAATATTTATTTTTTATTTATTTTACATCAAAAATTTTATTTTCATATAAAGATTATTAGTTATATTACAATTAATTTTTTAATATATAATTGTATACATGTGTATTGTACGGACTTAAAACTAGTTTATTGATTAAATCCAAATACTTGCAATTCTTTTTATATTTCTTACTACCAAAAAATAGTGACATTGCTTATAAATTTTGATTTATTACCACTCAATGCATTTTTTTTATTTTTAATATACTTTTAAATTCCCTATCGTTATATTTACTTAATTAAAAAAAATATTACGTGCATCAATTTTTTTGAAACCGCATCTCCAAACATCACCTCTAATTTTATATTAATTTATCCAAAGGTTAATCAACACTTTTGGATACCATTTTAATTATGAATGAATTCTATAATTTATAGTTTGAGTCCAATTAAAAATACCTTAAAATATTGGATAGAAGAGTAAATGAAAAAAGCCAAATCTTATAATTTTTGTGTGTATTAACTTGTTCGGAAATGTGGGTTTTTTTTTTTTTTTTTAATCATTTAGCATGGTTCTATTCATTGTTTTGATATCTAACTTCTAGCTGATTACTAGTAAATATTATTAACAAGCATTAAGAGTTTCCTCATCTACTATAAGTGGGTTTATATTTATTTTTTTAGTTTATGAAATTTATATACAATAAGTGAATAGCATATTACCATATGTAAGTTTGAATTTTGAATTTTAAAAAAAATAATGATATTTTTACATAATTAAACTTAGGAATTCTTTTAGCCAAAAAAAATTAAAAGTAGTTTAACCTAATGATAATTCTTTATTTGATTTATTTTTTTATTGGTAAAAAGATAGTAAGGGATCTAACTTAGAATTGTTCTCCAAATTCATTTTTTTTTCTTTTGCATAGCCAAACCTAATGATAATTCTTTATGAATCTATCAATTAACTATTTGATAATTGGAGCAAATTCACAAATTAATAAACTATTTGCAATCTACATATTTAGAATACCTTATATTTAACAATCTAATCAAAAACCTATTTAAAATTTTAAACCTTGATGATAGTGGAATTAAAAAGTTAAGTAAAATACTACTATTATTTTAAAGTTGACATCCTAAATTAAAAAAAAAAAAATTGCTTATCCTTTGACTTTAGACCTATAAATTACACACTAATCATTAGTTCATTACATTAAGAAAAGAATAAGAATGATCCAATTTACAAATTAAAACAATTTTATGCATAATCTCTTTATTTTTCGTCCTTTGTATCAAACATAATGACAAAAACTAATTTTTTTCTATTTTTTTCTCACATTTTTCTTAACAAAGTAAAATTAGATGATGTGGAGTAAAAGGAGAATTTCATAAAGCAAAAATGTTAGGAAGAAGACAAAATTGCCCAACATTATTCCTAAAACAATAAAATGTAAGAGAATGAATAGTGAAACATGGGTATGCGCTACATAAGCTGAAAACATCACCACACTTACTAATAATCATTATTACAAAGGGTTGTTATTTGTTAATTAATGTCTTAAATATATTTTTCATGAATTTGTTAAATTTGATATAAATAATATTATTTGAATCGATCAAAAGTAGAGATAGCAGTCCAATTCATCCCTGATGGATTTTTACTCAACCTGATTTCATAAAGTTAATTTTTTTTATCGAATTTTGGGTTGAGTCATATAATAGTGATAAAAGTTAGATTGAATTTTAGGTAACCCATTCCAATCCAACCTGATATTTATATTAAAATTATTTTTTTAATTTTATATTTACATTAAAATATAATATTTTATTAATTTCGAATTAGATTAGATTGAATACAATTTTATACAATATTGAGTCGAGTCAAATTCGGGTATAAAAAATAAAAAAAAATTTATCAGATTAGGTTCAAGTATTATGAATATAAAATCGAATTAGGTTCGAAGTGAAAAAAAACTCATCCCGTCCCCACTTGCTACCATTCCTAATCAAAAGAAGCTATTTAAATTAAATAAA